TATAAACAAACAAACAGCTTATTATTTCTGCGACGGTTACAGTATGGGTGCTTTGGACGGGCCTACTCACCACCCTCTCCAGAGCGGGCTGATCATGCGCTGAGTGCACAACACGGTATGTTTATTTGTCTTATTCTGTATAAGAACTTTATTTTGGTTATGATTGTTTATTAGCAAACACCATGAAAACTGCATACAAAAATATAAACGGTGTTAGCTAATAAACAATCGATCAGGCTGCGTTTGGTGCAATACACGACTCCATCAACAGATGGCAGTATAACAATACTCGAATTACAAATTCAGTATTTGCAAATGAACCATATAAACAAATAAACAGCTTATTATTTCTGCGCCGGTTACAGTATGGGTACTTTGGACGGGCCTACTCACCACCCTCTCCAGAGCGGGCTGATCATGCGCTGAGTGCACAACACGGTATGTTTATTTGTCTTATTCTGTATGAGAACTTTATTTTGGTTATGATGTTTATTAGCAAACACCATGAAAACTGCATACAAAAATATAAACGGTGTTAGCTAATAAACAATCGATCAGGCTGTGTTTGGTGCAATACACGACTCCATCAACAGATGGCAGTATAACAATAGTCGAATTACAAATTCAGTACAGTGATCCCTCGCCACTTCGCGGTTCACTTATCGCGGATTCGCTATTTCGCGGATTTTCATAATGCTTTTTTTTTTTTTTTTTGGGTGCATTGTGCTCTGCATTCTGATTCGCTAAAAACTCACTCCCGCTTCCTGTATCAAAACATGCTACGAAGTGTGCTATCATTTTGTCGTCTCGTGCAGTTATGTGTACGTACATAAAACAGCTTGGCAAATTTACATTAAGTTGGCCAAATTATCTTGTAATTTCGAACATCTCCTAAACCCATAATGTCGACCAAACGGCCTGGACCGACACTACACGTGAGTCACTGTATTTGTGTACATGTAATAGTTGCTAATTGTAAAAAAAAAAAAAAGTTTTCTATTTCGCGGATTTCACTTAGCGCGGGTCATTTTCGGAACGTAACCCTCGCGATAAACGAGGGATTACTGTATTTGCAAATGAACCATATAAACAAACAAACAGCTTATTATTTCTGCGACGGTTACAGTATGGATGCTTTGGACGGGCCTACTCACCACCCTCTCCAGAGCGGGCTGATCATGCGCTGAGTGCACAACACGGTATGTTTATTTGTCTTATTCTGTATGAGAACTTTATTTTGGTTATGATGTTTATTAGCAAACACCATGAAAACTGCATACAAAAATATAAACGGTGTTAGCTAATAAACAATCGATCAGGCTGCGTTTGGTGCAATACACGACTCCATCAACAGATGGCAGTATAACAACAGTCGAATTACAAATTCAGTATTTGCAAATGAACCATATAAACAAATAAACAGCTTATTTCTGCGACGGTTACAGTATGGATGCTCACCACGCGCTCCAGAACGGGCTGATCATGCGCTGAGTGCACAACACGGTATGTTTATTTGTCTTATTCTGTATAAGAACTTTATTTTGGTTATGATTGTTTATGTTTATGCATTTGGCCGACGCTTTTATCCAAAGCGACTTACAGAGTAGATGTTTGCTAATACGTTTATTAGCAAACACCGTGAAAACTGCATACAAAAATATAAACGGTGTTAGCTAATAAACAATCGATCAGGCCGCAGATGGCAGTATAACAATACTCGAATTACAAATTCAGTATTTGCAAATGAACCATATAAACAAACAAACAGCTTATTATTTCTGCGACGGTTACAGTATGGTACTCACCACCCTCTCCAGAGCGGGCTGCAGCCGGCTGCCGTAGGCCAGCAGCGTGGCGCCGGCGCTCAGCGCGGCGGCGAGCAGCGGCACGGGCCGCGGGGACGCGCCGCAGTCCGCCATCTGCACCGAGCAGCAGGGGGCCAGCGGCTTCTTACAGGGCCTGGGGGGAGGAGGACGTTAGGAGGAGTCCATTAGTTCAATAAAACTTTATTCATACAGCAACACATCACAACAAGAGTTATTTACAGAAGAACAACAGTTCCACCAAGAGCAGCACTAGGAGAGAGAGAGAGAGAGAGAGAGAGGGAGAGAGAGAGAAAGACAGCGGCTTCTTACAGGGCCTGGGGGGGAGGAGTGTTCAATAAAACTTTATTCATACAGATCCAGATCACAATCTCCCAGCTCTCCAAACAGACTCTGAGTTATCTACAGAATTCCCACCAAGAGCAGCTCTAGAAGGAAGAGAGAGAGAGAGAGAGAGAGAGAGAGGGAGAGAGGGCAAGAGAGAGAGGGAGAGAGAAGGAAAGAGGGAGATAGAGAGGGGGAGAGAGAGAGAGGGAGAGAGAGAGAGGGAGAGAGAGAAAGAGGGAAAGGGAGAGAGAGAGAGAAGGACAAGAGAGAGAGAGAGAGAGGGAGATACACATCACAACAAGAGTTAGTTCCCAGCTCTCCAAACAGACTCTGAGTTATCTACAGAATTCCAACCAAGAGCAGCTCTAGGAGACCCAGGGAGGAAACAACTGCCTTTAGTAGGAAGAAACCTGGATCAGTACCAGAGAGGGGGGGGGGGGGGCATCCCGGCCAGAGAAAGAGAGGGCAAGAGAGAGAGAGGAGGACAGATAGAGTAACGCAGAGTAACACACGGACTGGATGAAAAATGGCAATGATATTGATACTAATGATAATAACAGCACTAGGACTATGTAAATAATGGATCTCCAGGGCTGGAGAAATGGGATCAAAGTAACCCCACCTGACAGCTCCACCTAGGCCGGTCCCGATCCGATATCTGGATCGGATCGGCCGTTGATATTTGCAAAAAACTACGTATCGGCCGGCAGCAGAAAACACAGATCCAGTTTTTCAACATTAGCATTAGCATCTAGAATCCTCAGTCTGAATATAGTGCTGCCATTTAGCAATGTATGCTAGGGTGCTAGCATAGGGCTAGGAGGCTGCGCTGTGGAGAGCTGGAGGAAGTAAAACTGAGGAGGAGAAACTGAGGAAGAGGAAGAGGAGGAGGAGGAGGAGAAACTAAGGAAGAGGAGGAGGAGAAACTGAGGAAGAGGAGGAGGAGAAACTGAGGAAGAGGAGGAGAAACTAAGGAAGAGGAGGAGAAACTAAGGAAGAGGAAGAGGAGGAGGAAGGAGAGATG